GGATTACATTGAAGAGTATTTCACAAAAGTTTTATCATTCCTAAATTATAACACGTGAACAGTTGTTATCAAAAGTTTTCTCACTCATTGAAAATAGATTTTTCATACATTCGTCACTAAAAAAGTGTGTAAATAAAAGAAATATTGCGTACTGCAACAAAGAACTATATGAAAAAAAAAAAAAAAAAAAAAAAAAAAGTATAAAAATATATGAAATTGGAATCGTGTACAAAAGATTTAGCAACACTAACAACCACATGTATAGCACTATTACCATATGTCAGAACGAACTCGCTATGGGTTATGTTTTCAATCCTTGCTGCCTTTTAAGAAGTACTATCCACTACTGGGGGCATGATTTCTACAAATAGTAGACAAGATAGCTGTTGCATTCGACAAACTAGGGTGGACATCATGACCATCAGCACGAGCAACTGCTCCTAAAACTAGACAACCCAGGTTATCGCCCCAACCTTCGTATGTATACATAACAACCTCTTTATTTACCAACACAAACCACGACTTTCCACCACAAGAAAAGTCCTTGCCCGTCTCACATGTTCTCATGAGTGACGAGACAGCTAGTTGCAATAGCTTTCCATCGGGGGACGCAGCTCCATCTACGACACGTAATGCAGGGTGCGGCTCATTGTAGTGTCTTGCCAACCTGAGTAGGGCGTGACACCATCCTGCTTCACTGTTGTCCTTAGTACCCGGAATCTTGCAGAAGTCTTTGTCAATGAACGCATCTTCAAGTTTAACTTCAAAGATGTCACAGCTTTCTGTGTCAACTTCTGCACCAATTGCCTCCTCTGCCTCGCCCTGGTGTTTGACATCACTCATGCCAAATTGTTGAGAGATGAGGACAAGGTTTTCACTGTTGTCACCATTACAAACGAAAGACCTCTCAAATTTTCGCTTCATACCTTTGCAGGGGCTAGGATTCTCTTCGTGGCCAGTGGAATGATAAGAGTTCAGAAGCGTCCATTGCAGGATTAAATCTTCTGCTTTCACATCATGCGTTGTCACTTTCTTCGAACCTGGATCCACCGTGAACATGGCCAGTGCAAGTTCGTTTTGCTGTTCACTGCCATCACCAATGTCTTCCTTTTTTTCTACAATGGTTTTGTTACACTCTGCCGCAACGAGATCCCAACTCTCCTGTCGCTTGCGCTGCCTATCAACCTCTGTAGGAGCTGCACATATTGCTCGTACTGCAATCTCGATGTTTGAATCCCTAATATAGTTTGATAATTCAGAAGAGAAAGAAGGAGGAGCTAAGGAGTATTCCACAGTTTCCCCTCCTGCAAGCACATCTGTGATCACAGGATGAAGGATGCAGTGGATCACATTTCTATCGCTTTTGCTTTTCCTTGTTAAATCCATCAACTGGTCCAGAAGGAAGTACTCGATTCCATCTGCAACAATTACAGGTAACTCTGCAAGACAAGCGGGTTGCACACAATTTTTATTGGTCATCTGCGACAAACACAACACCTCGGTCGCGCCTGGTTTCAACAGCCCTGGATTGAAGGATAGTCTCATTTGTGCATCACGTATCTTCGATTGCAATTTTTTCCTATACGCTGGTTTCGTATACGTGCCACCCCTTTGATTTTTATTCATATCCACATCCGACTGTTCTGTGATCCAATCCAGCAGTGATTTCTCCGTGTACGATTGTATGTCAATCAGTCTGTTCGGGTGGGAAACCGTCGTACTTTCAAGGTTCGGCGAGTGATGCAGCCTGTCTAGAAAGACGCTTGCATCGTGCATTTTGTCGATGTTGCAAGCAACGGTTGCGTGGACATCAATATGCACATCAAAATAACGAGGAACCCTCTGTCTTAACTCCTGCAATTGAACATCGGAGTCATAATGCACGGAGGGCGTGGCAAATTGTATCACCGTTTGTGTTGCAATGATCTCATGTGGTGCCGACATACCTTCGGCCGCCTGTGAGACGCAGATAAATACCAAACGTAGTTATCGCCGTCCAATCTGAAGTTCAACAAACATTGAAAACAAATGAATAACAAGTTATATACTTAATAAGGTAGGCTGTATTTCCGGCCGCCCGGGAGCTCAAATTATGCCTGCGTTACTGTGGAAGGGTGATCAGTCAGGCGTGACCCCCGGGCAGGGTTTCGGGCAGGGCCAGTATAGTTAAAAAGAAAAAAAAAAAAAAAATTTCAAAAATTCATATTGTCATAAAAGTTGTGAGAAATGGATTACAAACGACTTATGACTGCGTTCACATTATAATTAAGTGCAACATCGGAG